AACAAGCTTCCTGAAGGTGTGCGAAGACTTAGCCCAGGGAACCTAAGATGCAGACAGGTGAAACAAAGTCCCCTTTCCAAACTCTCTGTTTAGGGATTGAAAACCACCTGAGTGCATAAATAGCCAGCCCAACCATGGTTCATAGTTTTTAATCTGCTTCTACACAAGGTGTATGAGGGAGTAGTAACAAAGATTGCAAATTACACAAAGGGTCTGCATTGCTCAGTTCAGATTTAAGGCATATCCCTTGGGGATAACTGGGGAGCTTTGTTAACCACTTTTATAGTTCTTGTTCAGAGGTGGGGTCTGGAGTTGTTCAGGCAATTCTGAAGCGTGGATCTATGTGGCAGGCTTTTCTTGTGTTGTCCTCTTATAAAGATGCTGTCTGCATCAGAATATTACTTTGCTGAGGCCAACGAGTAGTTCAGAAAGTTTCTTCCTTTTTTGAGCTCAGCCTGGCAACAGGAAGGAGGCTTCGTTCTATTCTCCCTTACTTCAGGTATCTCACTTACACATGCAGAGGGAGTAGCTCAGGCAGGCAAGGGAGCAACCAGAATCCACAGACAGAAAGAAAAAAGGATTCCATTTTGGGCTGAACCTCTGCCTGACCCAGAAAGATTGAGTTTGCTATCAGTGTCAGAACAAGCTCCCAGGGGCTTGTGAGCTCTCGGTTTGCAGCTACCCTTTGTCATGGGGTAAAGAATTTATTAGTGAGAAATTTCAATTTCAGACCTTAAAATTGTCTTGCTTGGCCTCAAGCTCCTCCATACCAGATATGTACTACACCCTATCATGGTTTGAACATTTGTTTCACCCCACGATCCTTGCCATGTTTATTTGTAAAAGGTTTTTCTCTGCAAACAAAGAATTATCACTTCATTTGGGCCATTTTACACAGTCTTGCGAAAGATCCTTAACAGGCCAGTGGGAGTGCTTAACAGCTTCTTGGAGAACGGCAGCTGCCAATGTGTGCTATCCATGTCCTGCTCAGTTCCCCCCAGGCCACAGGCATCCAGTAGCACTGACACTTAGATGTAACTTATATGGATCGCTGTGTTGGTCTGCCGGAGCCCCATAACAAAGCACTGCAAACTGAGCGGCTCCAACATTAAAATGTATTTGCTCACAGTTCCAGAAACTAGAAGTTGAAGATCAAGGTGTCAGCAGGGCTGATTTTTTCTGAGGGTGGTGAGGGAGAATATGTTTTGTATCTCTCCCTACATGCTGATGGTCTGTTCCAAATCTGTAGTGCTATGTGGCTGGTAGCTGTCTACCTTCCTCTTGTATGGAACAACCCTATGTCCCAAATTTCCTCTCTTTAGAAGAAAACCATCATAATGGATGAGCGCCCCTCACATAACTGTTTATATCTGTCACAAATATACGGGAAGGGCACAGTCCTCCCATAATAGTCAGAAAAGAAACACAGGATGTCACCAATCAGCTAGAGGTTCTTTTGCTCAATTCAGGTGGAAATTAAGAATTGGTGAAGTGCAGCTCCATTAGTACCTCTGGATTTTGAGTGTCTGTTGCTTTTAGCCCTTAGTGTCATAGCTCATTGGTCAGTGCCAGTGGCCCTTGGTGCTTGGTGCTGTGTCTCTGAACAGCTCCCAGCCACCCCTATCAATGCCTGAACAGCCACGCTCTCCACAGGTCACTGCAGGTCTCTGGAAGTTGCTGCAGTCTCTGCTGAAAGTCTGAAACTCTTCAAGACTAACAACCTGCAGTGTTAAGTGCATGCTTTATACAATTTATTCTGTCCACATTCCCTGAGGTAAGAATCGCAAGGAGATTTACAGGACACCCAAGCAAGGCCAGTGGGACCTGTGCTGTGGGATAGGGGGTTAGGGCATGGGAGGAAGCCCTTTTCCACAGATCTGAAGAACTTGAGGGAGCCCAGCTTATACAGAGGAGGTTGGGTTTTCTGTGCACGGTTTGAATATTGTGCAAATTTTCTGAGGACTTTTATAGTACTGATGGGGGAGCGTAAGAGTGGATGCAGGGTAGAGTAGGTCTATGTTCAAGCTTGCTCCAGCCAGGTAAAATATCTCCCTAAGCATCTAAGGGGCAGCTAGGATGGCCGCAGCTGGCAGAGTGACAGGAAATTTCAGGAGAAGCAGCTACATAATTGACAGCCACATCTCTGCAAGAACTGTGGAGCTGAAACTGAGACTGCCACTACTTTTGAGGAGTATTCAGGATGGCTGTCTCTCTGTATCGGTCATGAATTCTTTAGGCTTAGGGATTGTGTGGGTATCAACAATGGGTCCTGAAGGTCGTGAGTTCGATTCCCGGTACCAGAAAAACAAAAAAACAAACAAACAAAAAAAAAAAAATGGGTCCTTACCCCTTTCTGGTCTTTGCCCTATCAAGCATAGCAGCTCCTCAGAGAGGAAGGCTAAATATGTTGTAAGTTTTTATTAGAGGATCTCTAGTGCATAATAACAGAAAAATCGGGTTGTTCTATTTGTAGGGGACTGTGACAAATGTTTTTGAAAATGGAGTAAGGAACAGGTGAAGTGCACTGACAACTTTATTGATCTCAGTTCTGTATAACTGTGTCATGGTGCTTAGTAAAATTTCTATCGAAAAATAGAGGATGTTGGCTTTTTGTTGGTCCAAAAAGTTATAACTAGCATCACTGTCGATCATCCCATTTCTAAGAGTGAGCTGGGTCACTTTACTCCAGTCAAGCTGGGACCAGGTTTCTACAAAGTTTTGTTCACCCCTTCTCAGGTGAGGAAGACTCTATATTTGCAGCAAAATTTTACCAGAAAAATAAGTGGGAGCTGGGTGTGGTGGCACATGCCTGTAATCGTCATCCCAGCACTCAGGAGGCTGAGGCAGGAGAATCGTTGGATGTTTGAGACCAGCCTGAGCTACAAAGTGAGCTCAAGGCCAGCCTGAACTGCACAGTGAGACCCTGCCTCAAAAAGACAAAAACTAAATAAATAAATGACTGGGAGGGCATAATATATGAGAGTAAATATTTTCCTGAGTGGAGAGAAAGAAAAAAAAAAAAGAACTTTACTGAAAACAACTTTGTTTTCTTATATGGTGGAAAGTTTTGACATAAAAATTAATATCAATTAAGCACTTTAAAGCATACAGTTCAGCTGCATTTAATACATTCAAAATCTTGTGCAAACATCATTTTAATCTATTCTACAACCTTTTTCATAGACCAAAAGGTAACTCTGTAACCACTGAAGAATTATTCCCTATTTCTCCTTCCTAACCTTCTGGAAACCGACAATCTGATTACTATCCCTACACATTTATCTATTCTGGATGTGGGCTTTTTTGTTTTGATACTGGAGATAGTACCCAGGGTGCTGTACCACTGAGCTACATGCCCAGCCCTTTCTACTTTTACTCTGAAACAAGGTCTCACTAACTTGCCTACGCTGGATTTGAATTTGTGATCCTCCTGCATCAGCCTCCTAAGCAGTAGGCATTATAAACACACACCACTAAGACATACTTGGATGTGTCATAATGAAATAACATTATATAAGGTTTCTGGTGTCTGGATTATTTCACTTTTCATGTTCCAAGGTTTATTTGTGCAGAATCATGGCTGTTCCTTTTTATGGCTCAGTAATACTCCACTGAAAGGACTCAGTGCCCTTTTTAATCCATTCATTAGTACAGGAACAAAATGGTTCCATCTTTCAACTGTCGGGAATAGCACCGCTACACGCATTCATTAACAAGTTTCATTGCAGCACCTGTTTTCAGTTCACTGGGGCGGGCACGGAATTAAGGGTCACACTGTAATTCTGTATTTAACTTTTTGAGAACTCCCAGTTTTCCTCAGCACCTACATCATTTTATATTCTCATTAGCCATGTACAGGTGTTCTAATGTCTCCACATACTTGCTAATGCTAGTTATTTCCTTTTGGGTTATTTTTGGTTTGGTTTTGTTACGAGCATCCTATTAGATGTGAAATAGTGATGCGTTATGATTTTGATTTGCAGTCCCCTAATGATTAATGATGTTGAGTACCTTTTTATGTACTGGTTGATTTGTGTATTTTCTTGGAGAAACATTTATTCAAAGCTTTTCCTTTCTTTTTTTAATTATTATTATTATTATTTTGTGGTTTTGGTTTTTTTCCGGTACCAGGAATCAAACTCACAACCTTGCACTTGCCAGGCAGGTGCTGTGCTGCAGAGCTAAATCCCCAGCCCCTTCCTTCCTTTTTAATTGCTTTTTGGTCATTGTTGTTGTTGCTGTAGTCATAAGAGTTTTTTATATATTCTAAACAAAGAGCCCTTCTCAGATATATAAATTTCCGATATTTTCTTCAATTCTATAAACTGTATTTTCATTTTTTGATAATGTTCTGTGATATTCAAGTTTTTTTAGTAACATGTAATAATTATATATAATATATAATGTGATATTTCAGCACGTATATTCAGCAAGTGCTGATCAACTCAGGGTAATTAACCTTTCTATCACCTTATCAATTTCTTTATGTTTGGAACTGTCAAACTCTTATAGCTCTTTATAAAATGTATTGTATATTATTTTGAACTATAGTTCCCCCACCGTGCTGTGGACCCCTAGAACTCCTTCCCTGTGTGTTTCATGCCCATTTGCCAATTTCCTCTATCGTCTCACCGCCCCACCCCCATCCTTACCGTCTTTAGAAATCACTAGTCTACATTCAGATTGACTTCTTTTGGTGTCAGAATACGCAGGCTTTTGTAGTCTTTCTGTGTCTAGCATATCTTACTTAATATAATGCCCTCCAAAACCATTCCTGTGGTCACAAATAGTGAAATTTTCCTCTTTTTCAGGGCTGAATATTGTGTCTATGCTGCAATTTTTTCATTACCCATTCATCTGTGGAGGAGCACAAGGCTAATTCTAGGACTTGGCCGCTGTGAATACTGCTGCAATAAAAATGGAAGCAGAGGCACCTCTTTGATATGCTGACTTCATTTCATGTGAATGTGTACCTGGAAGTGGGATAGCTCACTCGTGTGTTAGAGTTATTATTAGTGTTTTCCCCTTTATTTAGTAGTGCATATTGGTTATACAGACCAGTGGGGTTCATCTTGGCAGATCTGTACATGCGCATAACATATTTTCTTCATTCCTCCTGTCACCCCTCTCCCCTCACCCCACCCACTCTCCCTAGTTTCACGCGGTTGGGGAGAGCTTCAAGATATATGATGTATTTTGAGGAATCTCCACACTGTTCCAATTTACATGTCTCTACTAATCTATGCTCCTGCCAACAGGAAATAGAACCTCCTTATCTCCACATCTTCATGAGCATTTGTAATTTTCGGGGTTTTTTGACAGTAGCCGTTTGAACTGGGATAAGAGGGTGTCTCACTTCAATTTGTATTTCCCTGGTGGCTAATGATATTGAGCATTTTTAATAGATTTGTTAGCCTTTTCCTTTCTTTTTTCTAGAAATGTCTATTTAGATCATTCACCCATCTTTGAATGAGATTATTTTTTGTTCAGTTTTTTAGTTGCTTAGGTATTCTGGATATTAATCCTTTGTCAGATGAAGAGCTGGTAAATATGCTGTATTCTCCCATTCTGCAGCTTATCTCATCACTGTGCTGATTTCTTTCCTTAACTATAGAGCTTATTCACTTAATATAATGTCATCTGTCTCCTTTTCCTTTGCTGCCTATGCTTTGAAGGTCTTATCTAAAAAATAATTCCCAACATTGATGTCCTGAAGTTTTTTCCCTATGTTTTCCTCTAATTGTTTCATGATTACAGGTTTTGCAGTTAACTAGTTGATCTGTTTTGAGTTGACTTTTGCATACAGTGAGAGACAGAGGTCATTAGGAGGTTCTACATACGGCCATCCAGTTTTCCTGGTACCATTGATGGAAGTGGCTGTCTTTTCAGCAGTGTATTTTTGGCACCTTTGTCACGTGTCCTGAAATCAAGTACTGTGATGCCTCCGGTATGTTCAATATTATTTTGGCTATTCAGAGCCTTCTTTGCTTGTATATGAAATTTAGAATTTTTTTTTCTAGTATGAAGAATACCACTGGTATTTTGATGGGGATTACACTGAATCATTAGAGTCCTTTAAGAGATGTGGACATTTTCACAACATTGGTTTTTCCAAAGCAGGGACCCCATTAACATGGGAGGTTTTTCCATTGTATGTATTGGTATATGGGTAGGTGGACATGTTATCAATGTTTTTATCAGTATTTTGTGATTTTTCATTTTTTTTGCTTCTTTAATCAGACTTATTGTTAAGCCCCTCATTTTTGGTTTATTTTTGTTGTTTTCTTAACTATTGTGAATGGTATTGTTTTCATGATTATTTTCTCACTAAGTTCATTATCAGCACATAAAGATGATACTGATATTCTTTTTCTTGAGAGACATTTACAATATAAATATATTGTACATTTTATAACTCTCAGGGATGTCTTCATTTAAAATTTTAAAAAAAATTTTTGTCTGACTTGGATATATCAAAAAACTTGTCTTCTCATTTAGCTATTCTTTCTTACCTGATCTGGTCTGCTGTTGAGTCTTTCAACTGTGTTTTTATTGTAATGTGAACTTCTGAGTTCTTCATTTCAAGTTTTCTGTTTCTTTTTCATTACTTTATTCTTTGCTGAAATTTTAATTTATACCATTATTCTCCCAATTTCATTAAATTATCTTCCTCTCTTGAATCTCATTTAGTTCCTTTGTAGTTATTCCTTTGAATTTTTAATTAAGCATTTCATCAGTGTCATTTTCTTTGGGATCTGATCCTTTGGAGGCTTCCCATTGTCTTGTTTTTGTATATTTCTTGTGCATATACTTCTTGAGACTACATTGAGACTTGTCTCTGCATTGAGACTTGGGCATCTACTGGATCTGTTGGGTCTACTAATTTTATAAGGTGACTTTCATGATAAATGAATTTTTCCTGTAAATGTATCTTAGGCTATAGCCTTAGTGGGCTAGGTTGACTTTGATTCTCTTTTGACATTGTCATGTAGTTTCTCCTTAGGTTCTTTGTCTGTAATTGCCAGCTTTGGAGATGCAGCGGTGAAGGCTGAGAGCCCTTCCGTCTCCAGCAGCCACACAAGGGAAGGAGTAACAGAGCAGCTCGGGTGAGTGTGGTGCACACAGCAGCGGGGTGAAGTATGTATCATGTAACCAGTCTTTCCATCCAAGTTTGGGTGCTGAGTCATGGACAGTGGTGCACATTTCCTCAGCAGTAGCAGCAGTGGTGAGATACTGGAGATAAGCAGAGGCTCAGGTCACAGGCCAGGTGGCGGTGAGAGCAGTGGGAAGCATGCGGTACACATCCTTAGGCTCAGCAGGCAGCTCAGACTGACTCCAGGATGGCCACAGTTGCACTGGTGTGTGTGTTTGGTGAGTCTGTTCTCAAGCTGGTAATTTGCTGTAGTATCCTGGGCTCTGGAATTTGGGAGGGAGATAGGTTTCTTCTATTAGCAAAGCCATGAGACTTGAGCTCTTCTAACAAGGCTCCAAGCCTTGGATAACTGGTATTCTCCTGTAGCTAGGGATGCTGGCATCACCAACAATGGATCTGCTGGGACTCATCTTTTCACCCTCTCCCCTGAAATGGGAGATCCCTACAGCTGGAGACTTGGGATTGTAGTTGCTGATACTTTTATTTCACTCTTTATGCCCCTGTCCCAGAGCTGTGTCTTACAGAGTTCCCATCTCTCCCTTGACCATTCACCTCAAAGTATAGCTATTTGTTTGTTCGTATGGTTCTTTGTGGAGGAAGAGGCAAGCACTGGACTGCTGTATTTGGTCATCTTGACATTGTATCCACAAAAGTTTTTCATTTGAATTCCAACTTACTTCTTTTGTTGTTGCTGATGCTTTTGATATCATATCCTAAAAAGCTTTTTGAAAGCTATCTCTTTAAATATTTCATTCATAGCTTAATGGAAAAGAAAAGGTAATTCATTAATCAAGATCCTGAAGAGCTAAAAGAATATTTCATGAACTTCTGTACTTATTCTTGATTAAGAACTTGTTAAACTATCTACCAATTTGTAATATATTTTCTCCCAATATATATTTGTTATCATTGTACCTTAACAAGTCTGAGAAATTTGCAGAAGCCTAAAATTTCATTAAAATATCCATAAATATTACCACCCAGAGAGAAAAGAAAAGTCAGAATTTAATCAGTAAATAAAATAAAGAGCAATATGTTAGCAGCTAGTTATATCCTGGTTTGGGGCATTACAAACTGGCACCTGCCAAAATCAGCTGAAACAATTAGATAAAAATGTACCTTGAGCCCAGGATCTAAGGGTCATAAAACAAACTTGATCTAAATAATGTAGCTTGGAGTCTTATTTTCACTGCAACTATTAGAAGGGGTCCAGATGACCATGTTTAATATTAAAATAATCACCGTCCACATGCAGTGCCCCACATTCCAAATCTGAAATGACAAAAGTATCACTTTGTTGAGTGTCTTTCCAAGTCCAGGATGGTTCAGAATTAATTATAAAGATGATGCAGTATTAATACTTTTGTGTCAAGTTCAAGAACAGGTTTTTAATCACCAGGACAATCTGTGTATATTCAGTATTTAAAGTGTTTGTCATGATTTAGAGTTGGCATATTAGAGACTCTAACAGATTAGCCTTGTGATTCCAATTTAAAATAGGTAATTTACTTATGATTTCAACTTGAAGGTACAAGAGTTTTTACTAAGTTTGTAAGCAGAATTAGAACATTTAAGAGAACTATATTTACTATATATATAAATTTAATAATTTATTCTAAATAAATGACATTTAAATTCCCAAGGTAGTTTTGCTTATTAGAGATATGAGCTTCTCTGGTCAAGTACTTGAAGAGTTTAAAAAGAAAACTGAATATATTACATGTATACCTACAGTTTTTTTGTTGTTATTGTTTTGTTTTCCAGTACTGGGAATCGAACTCACGACCTTGCACTTGCCAGGCGAGCGCTGTGCTGCTGAGCTAAATCCGGAGCCCCAATGTATACCTACAATTTAAAATGAACGTGTCTGTAAATGAGACTCATTGTTTAAAGAAAAAGTAGTTAAGTTAATCAAACGTTTAACTAAGCAGCTGCCCTCAAAATTTACAGTTCTTAATTACTTAAATTGTAAAATTGTAACAACCATGATACATATAAATTAAACTTCAAGATTTAGAAAAACCTATGGGTTTTAACTTTAAAAACCCCAAAAGTAATTTAAATTACAGGTAATTTTCATTGTACAATGGATTATGAAATTCCAAATTTTTATGAGTAATGAGGGTAGTTGCTAACATATAGAGCCTCTAGTCATCACACGAATGGCTCTGATAACATCTCATTGATCTTTTTGCTTTTGATTACATCATGTAAAGAGAATCTGAACTCTCTACACAATAAACTTGAGGTCTGAAAACTGAAGATAATTCTGGCTGTAGGTTCCATTTGTGTTGAATCATAGGATATAAGTGCTTTTTAGTCTTGCACACATACAAAAAAATCTCACAGGAAAAGAAATAGTCGAAGTCTTTCGACAGGCAACACATTTGAATCACCCATACCCTCTTTTAGTCATCTTCTACACAGATTATAGCTATGCGAGGTGCCCGTATGTCATCCTGCCCATTTAACCTGCTCAATCAAGGAGTCGTCCCAGGATAAGAGAAATGAAATTAGCGAGCAAAGGTCAACACAAGATAGAATGGGTGTAGGCTATTCCACATAAATTAAGTACAGGCTTAACATTTTTTTAAATAAGTGGAAAAGGCAGTCTCCTTCCAAGCAATTAAAAAAAGATAAAAACAGTTTTAGAATAAGGTATTGTTCCCTGAGTTTTGCTAATGGAGAAAAGTAATTGCTGCAACGAATATGCGTCTCTGAAACACTGGTGACCAGACGAAGTCTCTGAGGAAAGACAAGGTCTTGACATTCAGGATGCTGAGCTCAACACACTTTTAAACTGCTGGCATATGACTTTGTGGATTTAAAATGGAAAACCTTTGAGATTTTAAAGACCTCAAGAGTGAATAAACGGCATATTTCTCTAGTGGAAATAAAGTGAGCAGATGGCTTCAAAGCATGACTTTGGAATCAGATAGCTTGGGTGCAAATCTTAGTTCAGTCATCTATTAAAACAATGACCTTGGGCAAGTCACTTGTCCTTTTGAAGAGAGTTCAATTACAAAATAGAGCTGTAAGAAGACACAGTAATAACTATCTCTTAGGGTTGGAAAATATAAAGAGCTCAGTGCTATGATCAACATATCAGAGCCACTGAGTAAGTTCCAGCTGTATTAATTGTCTTCTTAGAAAGAGGACATTTCTGTAAATAACAGAAGCCTACCATTAGCAAGGCGGCAGGTTTTTCTTTTCTGTCTTTAGCTTCTGGCCAAGAAATATACATCACTGTTTCACATTATATTCATGTTTTTCATACTGCTTTAAAGCAAGTTGTCTCTTAAAGAATCAAGAATGATACACAGTCATCTGTTTAAAATTTTGAAGAAGGGACATGAAGGCTGAAGGCTTTTATTAAAATGTCTCTGGATTTGAAATAACATTCTTCTCATTGAATGGTCATAAATTAAGAAATCTAAAGAAAGCCATCTTGCACAGCTGTGAGCATCTAGCTATCGCAAAACAAAATTTGACTTTTAAAAACTCCATTGTTACATGGAGCAACTATGAAGCTATTAAAATTTGTGATAATTTGGGAAGATTAGACATGAATGCATTGTGTTCCTAACTGGCCTTTCAATAATTCAGTGTTATTTAAAATAATTCTCACATGCTGGTTGCATCAGCCACTTTAAAGCATTCATAAAATGAGTATGGTCATATTTTGTATATTGTTATATAAATTTAGGAGCCTGGACATGACCTCAAAATGGATCAGTGTCAAGACTTCTGAAACCATCAAAGGAAGCTAAAGCTTCTAGGGAAAGCCCACATGGTTCCTATCTACCTATACAAATTTCCATGAAGATGGTCCTTTTGTAAGAAAATGCCTGTAAATAAATATTTGTTACAAACAGACTTGGAATTTTTTATAGTGGTAAATGACATTTTTCAAAACAATGCATTCCCTATGGTTTCAGGAAGCACCAATTTTTACTAAGCTCATAAGGAACTGGGATTTCAGTTCTTAATTAATTGAGGAATATTTTAAATAAAGAAATTAATATTTCATTTTTTAATCAGAGTAAGGGAGGGTAGGACTATCATGAATTAAGGAATTTCATACAGATATGGACCAGCTGTTCCTTATCTCCACTGGGAGAAAAAATTAAATTAGGAAAGAAAGCCCACAAATGCACAGAAGGACATTTTTAGATGGTGAGAATGACTGAGGAAGGTTATGGAACCTCTGTGCTTGGAGGTCTTTCAAAGGACAACCCATATCTACCTGGGGTGAACAGGTCCTTCTGGGCCAGACACAATAGCAAAGCCCCAATTAATCTAAATATTCCATTTTTGACAGATATACTCTTGGGATTTTTATGACAGGAAGCTAAAATTTATAGTTGAGAAATGCACCTTTGATTGTTAAGCACTGAAATATCTGCCCCAATTAGCCTGACCCAGGGTGTGGACTTTGATCTCAAAGTGGTTGAATCCTAAAAATACTGTCATTGTCTCTAAAAAAATTTTTAAAAAAACAAGAACTGGAGACAGCTCTTTAATAGTATAATTAGTGTGAAAGCATCTTTCAGAGATTTCATGGCACAACCTTCTATGAACCTGAGAAGGAATACTTCATCACACCAGCAACTGGGAAGGTTTCTGCTTACATTCCTACTTACCCAGTTTTTTAAGAAAAAGGTCTTAAAACTACCTAAGACACACTTAGGGCTCAAAAATTGGAGTACTTAAGAGGATTTATTTAAATCTCCAAAATAACAGCTTGAAAATAAATCCTGTTAAATGCTCCATTTCCCTATTCTTGTCAAAAATTTTTACTTGGCCCTTTCCTTTTTATTAAACTCTGTAACGGTTCATTATGTTGCAAAATAACGTGTATAGTAGTTAGCAACCACCTGTAACTACTCGCATTTCCAAAAGCATTTAGAAAGCAAAGCCTAAATGCCAACATGATAAAGCTGGATTATGAAGAGATGAATCAAAGGAAAGAAACTGAGAGCTTTTTTTTAATACCATGAACATATTTTCTCCTCTTCTGATCATTTACTCCATTAGCATCACTTGCAAGAATCATTTGCCGTATGAGCAGGTGCCCAAACCAAGGCTTAAGCAGAATATACATGGCAAAATCCAATGAACTTTCCTCATCTCAGAAACTGGCAAGGATGGTCAGTCAGGTCTTATCTGCAAGAAGACTCCAGGAATCAGTAAAGCCCTAGGAATACTGAGGCTGACACTCTGCTAAAGCTTCAATCCCTAAAGTATCCAAGAAAGAGGCACCTCACAGAGTCCAAGCAAGTACCTGTATGGACACTCTAATGGGATAAAGGAGGATGAAGAACACTCTGACAGGATACTAGCAGTCTGTTGGGGAAAACCAGTCATCCTAAGAAGAGAAGACGGTGGCCCAACATTTGACATGGAGACACAGTTGTCATGTCCTAGGCTGTCAGACTGGCAACATTCATGATAACTTAGAAAAATATTGCTTCTAATAAGATTAAGTCACCAGAAAGAGTCCAGGCACTAGTGATGAGAAAGGAACAAAGCAAGAGAGAGTAGAAGAGACTATTTTACCACTTCCATGTGCAGACCTGTAGAGCAGGAGCTAAGCCACAGCAAGTGATGACGCCATGTATACTTACATACGTAGGAGCTTCATGACCTTTGTTAAGAGCAACAGAGCTGAAAAAGCCACATGAGCTACAAAGACATCTGCTGCATCAAAGAACTTGATTAGAAAACCCAGGGTATTTTTTTAATTGATAGGAAGGGTTTTGGGGATCTAGGATTCATTGAGTTCACGGATGGGTGCTAAGCCAGAGAATATTGTTTTCCACTACGATTGTGACTCTGTTGCAGTTGCAGATAGCTTCTCAGAAGAAAGCAAGTAGAGTTGGTATATTGAACAATTTGAGCCCTGCAAGGCTGTGCCTCTGCTGCTTTCTGTTTTCTCAGAGTTGGTGCTTTCTGACATACTTTCATTCAACATTCTCCCTCTCTTCTGCTTGCAAGACCAGCAGAGACTCCCTCCTGTTGGTGTCCCTCATGCAGCATTTGCTCAGCAACTGGAAGGATGGTTCAAGTTCAGCTAGCTCCAGCAGAGTTCCAAAGGTCTAAAGGAAACTCATGGAATCCTGCTAAGTCACATAGCAGTCTGACTGTGAGCAATATTGCTGTTCCTTGTCTTCCCATCATCTTGCCCTAATTCCTTTTCTCCTTATTCAATTCAGGAAGCCATTTCATGTAGAGGAGTCCAACAAGAGAGAAACCATTCTTTTTTTAACCATTCTAGCAAATGTAAAAGGCTCTCTCTGACCTCCCCTCACTTGATTTGGTGTATGGGAGCAGGCAGATGTCCTAAGACAGTTACTGTCTACTAGCTCACTGCTTACCTGATTATTTTTCCTTGACTTCCTTATAAAAATGAGGAGGATAGCAGCAGGAATAATCCTGCCACCTCTGAAATAGGCTCTGCAAGGATTTGGAGAGGCTATATTTAGAATAGGAGGCTTACTGTCCTCATTCGGCTGGGGGTGGGTCCCTGAAAATCTGAGACAAAAAGAATTTAATTCAACATCCTGTGACACCAAGTAAATACATTAGTACAGGAATGCATTAATGCACAGGGAAGCAAAAAATGTTGCTATTGTCAGTCTTCCTCAAAACAATATCACTGCCCCATTGGTCATCTTTCCATTGCTGGGACAAAATACCTGATGTAGAGAACTTAAAGAAGAAAGGTTTATTTTGTCTTATGGTTTCAGAAGTTTCAGTCCATGGTCTGC